CCTGGGGATCACCCACAGGGGCTGCAGAACTGCAAGGGTTGCCACAGGTTTCTTCCTCTGCTATCCTCGTCCCAAATGGGTATCTGCCAGAGCTATACCTGAGCTCTGGTTGGCCTAAGCTCCCCTTTATGAGGTGTCTCTTTGGGTATTAGAGGGTCGGGGAGCTGCTTGAGGAGACAGCCTGTCCCTAATAGGAGCTCAAGTGCTGTGCTGGGAGCTCTGCTGTTCTGTGCAGAGCTGCTGGGCAGGTACCTTTAAGTCTGCTGCAGCTGAACTCATAACCACCTCTTTTCCCAGGTGCTGTCCTAGGAAGGTTGGCTTTATTTATAAGTCCCTGTTGTGCTGCTGCCTTTGTTACAGATGCCCTGGCCCACACAGAGTAGTCTAGTCTCAGTCTGCCAGCAGAGGCATTGCTGAGCTGCTGCAGGCTCTGCCCTGCACTGTGTGAGCTGCCTAGGTACTGGTGGACTGCCTCGGTAGTGGGGGACACCCTTCCCCCCACTGAGCTGGATGGTCCTGGGTCCATCTGCGCTTGCTGTGAAACTCTCAATCCAGAGCATTTCAGATTGCTTGTTCTGTGAGGGTGGTACCCCCCAAGCCAGCTCCCTGTCTTAGCCCCCTCCCTTTCAGTTAAATGGGCAGTTCTGTCTCCCAGGCGTTCAGGGCGCTGGCCAAAAAGGCAGCCCAGACTTGTGTGAGTTTCTGTGTGCCTACGCAGTGCCAGCTGAAACAGTCACACTGAAAACTTGTGGCGCTTTTCAGCCTGGGAATCTCCTAGTCTGTGGGCAGTGAAAACTTGTTTGGAAATGCGGTGAGCACTTACCCTCTACGCTGTTCTCGCTGGGAACTGCCCTCTGGAACGGTTCCTATTTGGCCATCTTGGATCTTCTCCCCCGAGAAGGGTGTTCTCTTAACCTGTCCAGGGGCCAGTCACACCTTGGAAAGAGGCAAAATGAAATCAAACAAGGTGCTGAAAACAACAAGTGTAACTCTGGCAGCTTCTCTCTCTGCTGCTCAATTTTTCACCTGTGAAAGGAGAGGGCCGAGCCAGATGGTCTCTGGGGATTGTAGCAAGGTGGGAGGGGTGTGAGATGCAGAGCCAGACTTACCTGGTTTGAATCTTGCTGCTTCTAATGGCTAGCTATATAACCTTACACCCATCACTCCACTTCTCTGGGCATGTCTCCTCAGCTGTGAAACAGCATTAATGACACCTAATTGATAAGGCCGTTGAGTGGATTAAGTGAGATGGTGAGCACACAGCTGCAGGCACGAAGCCCAGCACACAGAAGGGGCTCCATCACTTCTCTCTTTTTGCCTCTGCCACTTCCACCCCCAAAGATCCTGTCCTTGCCCTTGACCAACCATCTCAAGTACGCATCAGAGTTTCCTCTGCCTTGAGTGGAAGGAACCTCATCCTTCCATCCAACAGCCCCTTCCATGGACTAATGATGGGCCTGAGGGAACTCTGGCCTCTTCACTGCAAAGGTCGCTAAACTGGTTCATTTTCCTCCTAGCACAGGAAAACTCCCCTGTCCAGCCCTAGGAGAGGGACAGTTCTAAGCAGGATCATGTGACTCACTCTGACCACAGAATGTGAGAAGTTTTATCAACCAATTCCACTTCTGACTCATCAAAATTCCTCCTCTGAACAGAACCAAACATCGCATGTTCTCACTCACAGGTGGGAGTTGAACAATGAGAACACATGGACACAGGGAGGGAAACAACATACACTGGGGCCAGATGTGGGGTTAGAGTCTAGAGGAGGGAGACCATTAGGACAAAAGCCTAATGCATGCAGGACTTAAAACCCAGATGACGGGGTGATAGGTGCAGCAAACCACCAGGGCACCTGTATACCTATGTCACAAACCTGCACGTTCTGCACATGTATCTCAGAACTTAAAGTAAAATTAAAAAAAAAAAAAAATCCTCCTTTGCCTTCTCCCTTTCCCCAGAAAGCTTGGAGCCTATACTTGGAGGATGGTGGCATGACAGTATGAAAGGAATCTGGGTCCCTAAATGACTGCATTAGAACGTGATATGGGTAAGCTATTCTGCTCCTGAGACTATGGGGTTTACTTGTTACTGCAGCTGAACCTAGTCCCCGCTAACTAAATCAGACAGCCTGACACTTCCAAAGGGCACAGCTCCTAAAACGGGGCATCTTTACCTATTCCCTGTCTCAGGGTAAGTTCCTCCCTCTCCTGACTCTCTCTTCTCAGGGAGTGGAGGCCAGCTTTTCCTACCCCCACCTCCCGCCCCTGCCCTCTATAAGAAGATCTGGATTCTAACATCCAAATTCACATCCATAATCTCTGCCAAGGTTTCCATCCCTCTTGTGCACATTGGCTCCTTGTGGCCAGGATGGCATCGTGGAGCTCCCCAGGGGAGTTCTGCGATTGGGCCTGCCATCCCAACCTCTGCACCTACTTGGTCTGGACCTCAGTTTCCCCACATCAAAAAGCCCTGGAAGCCTTCACCTGATCTGATATTTGCAAGCCACAGGAAGCATATCTGAGAGTAAATGAATGCCTGAGACTGACAGCCAGCAGACTGCACCTCAGCCCAGCCTCCCTGACACATGACCACAGCCTCTCCTGGCTGAGTAAACATGTTTTATTGGGCCTGGGTACACTTCCCGGCCATTCTGCTCCCACCTCCCTTCTCCTGCTCTGGCCAGTTCCCCAGCACAGCCGCTCCCCGGGGCCTCCAATACCTGTCCTTCAGATCCCCACTGTCTCCTGACACGTTTCTACCCTGACACCTGCATCCCCAGCCTTAAGGGGCGTGGAGAGTTTCTTCTCTTATCAGCTTGTTTTACTGCCCCCTCCTCCTTGGTTACACAGTAATTTGGAGCAAAATTCCTGGCAAGCATAGATCAACAACTGTCAGCTCCCAGCCAGAGAGAAAGGGCCCCTTCAGTGCTGTCTCAGGAGACTGGGAGAAGAAGCAGAAAGGACCCCACAAGGAAGGGAGAGGCGCCCGTGGAAAGAGGGTTTCACATGCGAAGTGAGGTCAGGGAAACGAGAACAGAAAAAACCAGGGCCAGCCCAGAGACAGCTGAGAAGAATCAGACTCACAGCTCAGCCCAGCCCTGGCACAGAGAAAAGACAGGCCTGGCAGCACCCAGAGACCCTCTTTCCTCAGCCTCCACCGGCAGGACAGCAGAAGCACTGATGCTCTGGAAGGTATGTTCTGGAGTCTGGAACAGCAGAATTTAAGGAAGTAAAGATGAGTGTCTGGGAAAAACCCTCAAGCTGCAGTGTGGCCCATGACTGAGTTGGCCACCTGAGGCCAAGGGTGGCACTCCAGCCTCCCAGAGGCTGGCTAGAGCCACAGAAAGGGCCAGAAGCCAGAGAAAGGCCAAAGGTGGACACCCTGCCTCCATATCTCCTCTGGAAACTGACCTCCTCTTTCCTACGCCTTATTGTCTCTCCCTCTTCTCTTTGTTCACCTCTGGGCGGTGACCTCAGGGATCCTGGCCTAAGCTGGTGATTGTGCAGGCAACTGCGTCCGCAAAGACTGTTCTCCGGAAGATTGAACCCCAATTCAGCCATGGTGACTCCTTTGACATCAAACTGGTGAGGGCTGTGAGCCGGAAGCACAGGATACCCTTCCTTCCAGCTCCTCGGTTGTGATCTGCCCATGGAAGTCCCTGTGGACACGAAATCCTGCTGGGATCATCTAACTGGAGGCTCTCTGTTCTTCACCTGCACATGCCCTCTTGAACCCAGGAGGTTCAGGGGAGGAAGTACACCACCCTCCACTGGCACCCCCCTTGGCCTACACAGAGTCACCCCTGAGCCTTTCAATGTGTGCTGAGGTGGGCCCTGCTCTCTACAGGGGTATGGAAAGGAATAGCTTGGGGTGCTGTGAGGCCCCCAAGAAGCTGGGCCTGTCCTTCTCCATCGAGGCGATCCTAAAGAGGCCTTCCAGGAGGAGTGATATAGACAGGCCAGAAGGGGCAGGTGGAGAGGGCCCCGGGGAAGCTGCAGCCTCAGGCTCCAGCCTAGAAAAGCCCCAACAGGACCAGCCCCAAGGTAAGTGTCTTCTGATCACTTCTTTCTGTTTCCTGGGCTTCAGACCCAGCTGGGGACAGGCAGAGAAAAAGCTTCTCCGTCTATATCAACTGAATAGAGGACTCTAAAATTCAGAGCAAGACCAGGCTCTGGGCTGGTTGCCTGATAGAACTTTCAACCTTTGGTTTTTCAGCTGCAGACACCAAGGCTCAGTTAGTTGCAGAATTCAGGGACCTGGGGCTTTTCCCTGTCACCAGGTCCCAGCTAAGAATGCTAGTTATCATTTATTCAGCATTGACCATGCGATAGACATTCTAATTTCAGTAGAAAAGCATGATTATCATAACTGGACAGATAAGAAAATTCTGTGAAAGAGAAGTGGAAAATGTTCCCAAGTTACATAGCAGGTAAACAGAAGCCCTGTCATCAGGACCTGGCTCTGACTCCCCTAAATCCCTGCTGGGCCCAGCACAATCTCCTCCTCTTAAGCCGAGTTCTGCCTGCACAACTTCCAGGGGCTGAAGCTTTAGCTTGAGAAAGGCCTGTCCACCCTGATCACCTTCCTTGAGCCTGTGGCCGCCCCAAGCCATGTCCCCAGATAACAGTGACCAGGTAGATTGAGAGCTGACTTGAAGAAGGGAGGAAAGCCGCACTGGGGCATTGAGGTGGACACACACCTGCTAAGAGTCAGGAACCCAGGGTGAGACTTAGGTCTGGCCTGCTGTGTGACCCCGGGTACGTCCCCATCCACTCTGGCCTCAGCCTTATGCTTGACAAAACACCTAGGTGAGGGAATAAGAAGTGGTGAAGCTGGCGATGTCTCAAGGGTCTTCTGAGTCTGACAGTCACCGAGCCTGGAATATCTCACATGAGGTTCTTAGTTCTTTCCCGTCTTCACCCTTTGTAATCCAAGAAAATGCTGGAAAGGAAGCTCAGGGAGCCCTCGACGTCATGACCAGCCTTACATAGAGCTCCACATCCCCCCACCAGGCAAGTCTCCCATGGAAGGAGCTGATGAGGGGTCGCACTCAGCTGCAGGCATGGGGAAGACCAGGAGGGCTGCGGGTCCGCAGGCAGGCAGGAGGCTGGTGTGTTTCCCCGCAGCTGAGCTTTCCAAAGGGACAGGGTTCCCAGCTTAATATTTAGAAGTTCACTAATATCTTCTAGTCCATTGAGGATTCATAGAAACATTTCCACTGGAGTCCTGAGTTTTTCTATGATCACCCTGTGTCACAAACAAGCGGTCTCGCCCCTGCTGCCATAGCAGTTTCCCTTTTCCTAGCCTGATGACAGCAGGCTTTAGAAAGGAAGCCACTCTTTCTATGCCTCCACGGAAGATTCTAGCATGTTCCATGTCAGCTATCCATCTGGTCCCACAGAACAGACCCAGTAAGTTCTGGCCAGACTAGCAGTGGTAATAATGGATGGTTCCTTATTACTTCCATTTTCCCATCTCATTGCTACACTTGAGAGCCCAACTTACAGACGATGAAACCAAGAAGAGAAGACAAATCCTCCACGAAAATTATGTGAGTAAAGAACACTAGAATTGAACCCTGGTGGCCTGAGACTATCCCCTCTAGATTATTCTTGAACATAGTTTAAATCTATCTCTATCCCCTCTAGATTATTCTTGAACATAGTTTAAATCTATCTCTATCCCCCCTAGATTATTCTTGAACATAGTTTAAATCTATCTCTATCCCCTCTAGATTATTCTTGAACACAGTTTAAATCTATCTATCGCCCGCTATGCTGGAATTCAGCATTTCTGAAAGCTTGGAGAGGGTCCCGCTCTCCCATCAAGATGACCTTGGTGGGTGCACAGATAAAAATGATCTAGCTCGACAGTCTTGTTACTTCTACACTAACCTTGTATTTATGAGGAAAGATACTGCTATCCGTGTATAATCATGATATAAGGTTTTATTTTTAAATACATGTATTATTTAAGTCAAACAAAAAAAAAAAGTCTATTTGGGAAAATGCTAAGCAAATAATACAGATGAGACACCAGCATGCCAGAAACTATACAAAAGAAACCTGCAGAAATTGCAAATGAGCTGGAGTCTGTGAAGCAGGCCAGGTGAGGAGGGCAGGGATTCAGGAAATCTGCCCATTAAGCCCAGATCCGGCCCCAACGCACAGGAGGACCTCAGGCAAGTCACTTCCCTCTCTGGCCTCAATCTCCCCATCTGTAATATGAAAGAGCAGAGCTAGAATATTCATAGTCTCTCCCAGCTCTGTCATGCCATGACCCATTCAACAACAAATTAGTTGCTGAAAAACCTTGGAGGATTCCCTCATGGTGATTTTCCATCGCAGAATCTTACTGCCTTGCAGAGAGGATGATCATGATGCCAGGCAGGGGGGAGCAGAGAGACTGGAAGGCTCCCCCTGCCTCTCCCTATATGCCCAGCCCTGTGCTTGTTGCTGCTGGCTGATGCTTCTCTACTCCCTGTCCTACGTCCCTCCTCTTGTGCAGGACCCCTCAGCAGAGGGCAACAGGACAAGACATAGACAGCAACACCCTCCGCTGTCCCAAGAATAACGATACAGGAGTCAGTTCCTCTTTGTCTCCTTAACATTTAAAGGGCTTCCTAGACTGGCTCATGGACGTCCCTTGCCATCTCACCTAGGGCACTTGTTAAAATGCAGCCTGTCAGGCCCAGCACTCAAGACTCTGACTCTAAGTCAAAGGGCCCAGGAATCTGCATTCTAACAAGCTCTCCCAAATGATTTTGATGTTGGCGGCCCAATGAGGTGGTCCTTGGAGGAAGCTGAGACTCAAAACAGTAAAGTGGCTCTTTCTAAGCTACATGCAGGAGATAGGACCGGGCTGGTTATCTAGGCTCCAAGGTTAGTGTATTGCTCTACCCCCCTCATTTCTCATGGCAGAGACCAAGATTCCCCCTGACTTCTTCCCATTCCTGAAGGGACCTCCACGATCTATGGGTTGGACCCTCCCAGGTCTTAAGTCAATGGGGAAATCCAAGAGGACCTCTCTATCTGAAAAGATTCTACACCCAGCTTCCTGCCCTCTCCTCCAAGGAGAGAGAAGTCCTCTAAAACCCAGGACCCTCCAAAGTTAAGGGAGACCCAGTCAGGAGGAAGCCTCTTTATACTGAAATGTCAGACCCTAGGAAGAGAAAGAAAGAGAGAGAGAGAGACCGTTTTTGCACCTCTACCACGGATAATCCTCTGTGGGGAAATCATAAGCCCAGGGGGAAAGGTGATGGAAAATTGGCAAGGAAGAGACCACCCCAGTGGGTAAACTAGTATGGGTTGCCTGGCCTGTGGGGAACTCAGGTATCTTCCCTTGCCTGCTCATCAGCTCTTCATTCATTCCGTGAATCTTCACTGGGTGCTTACTCTGGGCCAGGCTGGGGGCTGGGGAGGTAAGGTGAGTAAAACAAGATTTAGTGACTACCCACCCGGAGGGGGATGGGGTCGGCAGGCATGGGAGTTCCTGGCAGTGCCACCTTGGGGCAGTGCCGACTTCTGCCCATCTTGTCTGGTGGGGCTGGCCAGGGTAGAATTCTTGGCATTTGAGAAGCATCCTGAAACAAGGGACAGCAACGTTTTTCTGCAAAGGAACAGATGGTAATTTTAAGCTTTGAGGGTCAGATGGTCTCTGTCACAATTACTCAACTCTTCGGTCACAGCTGAAACTTGTCTGCAGACAATGTGTACACAAATAGGTAGGTTTATGTTCCAATAAAACTTTATATTCAAAAACAGAGGTCAGGCCAGATTTGGCCCCCATGCTGCAGTTCATCAGGGGCCTGCCCCTGACACAGGAGTGTGACACTCAAACTCCTTCCCAGACTGGCCCTGTTCGTCCCAGGCTCACCTCCCGTCACACCCCACTGGCCCTGTCTACCCTTGAGGTGCATGCAGTTCCTCTCCAAATTCCAAACCTCTCTTGCCCTTTAAATGCCTTGGCATCTTTGCCATTTAGAAGCCACTGCTCCTGCTCCCACCTCTTCTTGCTCGTCTTGTCCCTCTTCCTCCCTGTCTGGAATAATTTTCTATGGCTGTTGTAACAAATTACAGCCATCTGTGTGGCTTAAAACCCAGAAATTTATTCGCTTACCATTCAGAAAGCCAGAAATCTGAAATCCAGGTGTTGGCAGAGATAGCTCCTTCTGGGGCTCAAAGGGACCCATGCCTCTCTGGTAGTGTCTGCTGGTTCCAGCAACCCCTTAGCCTCATTTGACTTGTAGACCCATCACTCCATTTTGCCTACATCGTCTCACAGTCGTGCCATCTGCCTGTCTTTCTCTCTCTCTCTCTCTCTCTCGTGTGTGTGTGTGTGTGTGTGTGTGTGTGTGTGTGTGTGTGTGCGTGTGTGAAATGCCTCTTTCTCTTATAAGGACACCTGTCATTTGATTTAGGTCCCACCCTAAATCTGGGATGATCTTATGTCCAGAGCCTTAATTATATCTACAAAGACTCTATTTCAAAAAAAAAAAAGCAATTCCCAGGGTTAGAACTTAGACATATCCTTTTGGGGCTCGCTGTTCTATCCATTCTACCCATTACACCTTCCCTCATTTCTTTGTCCCCTCATATTCCTCTTTCTCCTTTTCCTTCCCTGTCCCTCACCTCTTTCTCCTCTCCTCCTCCTTCTCTTCTCCCTCCTTTCCCTAGCCCTCCTCCTCCCCTGAACTACCTGAAATCAAAGACAGCGTCTCTGCTATGGGCACTGAGAGAGGCAGCCCCGGTTTGGAGCCGCCACTGAGGCTTGCATATATCTCATCACCTGGTAATTAACAGCTCTGGCTCTTACCCAAGTAGACCCAGAAGCTCCCATCAGAACAGACAAGAATGGGGCAAAAGGACGTAGAGTTTAAAATGGGCACTTTCCCAAGAGAAGCATGCTTTGGTCTTCCTCCAATGGACTCTGTCTCTAAGTTCCTGATACCAGAGCTATGGGGACCTCTCTGCGAGGGGGCAGCTGTACTGGGAGACTGGTTCTAGAATTGAGAACCTGAATCAGTCTCAGGCCCTGTGGGAGC